TTTTTGTTTTTTTTAGGTGTCAAAGCTTCAGAACTTACAGTTGATAATATAAAGGACTATGATGAAGATGTTGGCTGCCCAATCTGCAGAAGAAACATCACATTCAACTATAAAGTAACTTAAGATGCACTTGGCACCTTAATTTTCATTACCCAAAATTATACTGTGCCTTTATAAGTTATTTACTTTGCTCAGCAAATGTTTTGATAGCTTATAGACTGTCAATACATTGAATAGAGAAAATTAAGAAGATGTTGAGCAATACCGTCAACTTTGTCAAATTAATTTACTCATTAAAGCCAGCTGTCTGGTAGCCAAAAGCTCATAATCTCACACATTTTGAACAAGGGAACGGTTGCAACAGCAGATTTGCATGTTGCTGTCATTTGACTAGAACTACCAGAATTCCTTTCGTCTTTTCTTTATTATTTAAATTTTAGAGTCCCAGTGGGGTTTAAATAACAACTGCTCTAATTAGCGTAACAAACAAAAAGAGTGAAGGATTCTGGTAGTTGTAGTCAAATGATACCATCATGCAAATCACTTATTTGTCGCTTTTAACTCTGAATAATTACCCACCAATTTTAGCTTCATCTATGTTAATGTAGTGTCCCCTTGGTTCCTTATTTCCCTACACAAGTTACACTGAACCAAAGCGAGATACATCACAATACTCCATACACGCTACTTGTCAATAATTATGGAGTTGAACATACTTATTTTGCACTCTCTACTGGTGAGTTGCATTCACATGTATCCAAACTCCTCCTCTCGCTTTGGCATCTCTAGACCTACTATACCTTGCACAGGGTTGCCTAAAGTACAGTAACCAGCCACAAGCAAAAATTATCTTCTACTTCAGGGTCTTGGCCAGCTACTCTGCTTAGAGATTGAATCATCTTTAACAGTTATTCTTTGGAAAAATATGGCAAAAATCACCTGCCTACTCCAACAATATAGAAGCAGCTTCATTGAAACTCTATGGCAACCTTGCATGCCTTTTTGAAGGTTGGATCCCAGATGTCGCTCAGATGGGAGTAATGTACGTGTAGTATGTCATGAGAGATTCTGCCTACTGAGGCTAATACATTTGGGTTTTTTTACTTAGATTTAATTTTAATTAGTTGGTATTACTGCTATTTTAAAAATAAATCAATGATGAGGTTAAGTGTTTGATATTTAACTTGTCTATTGATTGATTGATCGAGCAATGGATCAATCAATCGATCGATTGATTGGTTGGTTGGTTGATTGATTTAACGTCAACAAGTTTAAAGAACAAATTTAAATGTCTTTTACTTTCTTTACAAACCATTTAATATAATAACTGGTTTTTTTTTCCCCTCAGGATGTATTATTTTTATCTCAGTTTATGTCTCCAAAAGGTTATGTACTCAATCGCAGAGTGACAGGTACATATGTTTCATCCAGTTCTACTTTAGTTAGTTTCTCAATTTAGGACTGTGGGAAAGTGCAGGTCTTCCTTATGTACACAATTTACTAATATTTTAAGCATTATGATAGGTACTGTAATTTTAAAATCTTTGACTAGAGAATATTGTCAAGATCTAATATTAAACCCGCAGATCTGAAATGAGAAGGGGAACTGAATAGTGGCTGCTTAAAGGGGTTGGCTGCTTAATTAATAGAAGTAAAAACAATGGAAAAGCCCTCATCGGGACTTTGATTACTGGCCGCCTAATAGAGGTGGCCACTTAATAAAGTTCTATTCGACTGTGTTCAAGTTTGAGGAAGTAATATTATTTATCGTGACTGGCAAATAATTCCTATTTTACTAATAATACAATATTGTTCCTCTCTGAAAGGTGTTTGCAGGAGACAGCAGAGGAAATTAGAGAAAGCAATCCGTATATCACAGAGATTAGGTAAGAATTTCTTATAATTGTTACTGTTGTGCTTGCAACAACTACAAGCACAACAGTAACAATTTCACGAGTTTGAGTTTCAAGTTTGAGTTACTATTTTTAGCCTAAGTAGCAGTTCAGTCAGCCCTGTTTTCAAGTCTGGTTATCCTGTAAGGGTTTAGGGTAATCATCAGACTGAGCTCTCATTTGTAGTGCACTTTTAATGAAACGTAAGCCCACTGAAAGCCACAGAATGTTACAAAATTTGGAACAGAACTCAAAAAGAGCAAACTTTGGCTCTGACTTGAACTCAAAGTCTTTACTCAAATTTGAACTTGAAATTCTAGTTATTAAAATCATAAATTTGATAATCTAGCTTTGATCGCCTTACAGCAGTTAGAATTAAAACCAACTTTTGAACTGCAGTGCTTGACACTTTCGTAATATAACCATTCTTTTTAGCTTAAAAACAAAAAGAAAATTATGTATACCTGCTCACATGAGGCAAGTACTGGCGTCAGGCTTAGTTAAGTAGCAGGCCTTGAAGCCTTAAGTTAAGGTCACTGATAATAATTTTTAGTCATATTTCTATTCCATTGGTTTTTTCAACAGGTGTTCTGCCAAAACTGTCACCAATACTCAGGAGAGAACTTGAAGCACAGAAACAAAAACAGAGTTGATTTTGTTTGTTAGTCAAGAAAATAAGGTTTCAGCTAAGCTCAAATAAGGGTAAAATTTTAATTGCAGTGGCCTGATAGTTGTATTCTAGACAAAGGTAAATTCACATAGTCATGCTTTCTCACCCAAGAGAATCTCCAGTCCATTGGGCAAGATCAAGTAGTATTTTTTGTGCATTCTTGCTTTTATCTATATTTAGCCACCAATGTGGTGAATGCTGTCTATTGAAGGTTAAGTTTCCATCCCTTTCCTGTGTCTGATCTATTTCTGGACCTCGTGTAGCTCAGCCACAGCACTAGTTCTGAGATAGATAAGGCCTATATATTATTAACCAAGTTTGTTTGGTCAAGACTGCTGGATATTGGCCAGCATCATGTCATTTAAGTTTTTGCCACCATATAAACTGCATTGCAGTGACAAGACTCCAGGTTACCAGAACTTCAATATAGTGACAGAATAGTATGTAGCCTGCAAGTAGGCTCTCATGCGTTGCAGCAGGAGCAAAGTCGATGAGCAAAGTCACAAGAGGTGAGTCAGCGAGCGAAGCAAGCCAGTGAGGGGCCTGGCGTGAATCATTCTCAGCTGCTCACTTCGCTCGCTGACTCTTGCTTTGTTCGCCAACGGCTTTTCTTGTGCCCCCAATGATGAGAGCCTGCTTGCAGGCTTAATAGTATGGTAATCAGTTAGAAGAATTAATATTTTGCACCTGACTGAACAGATAAGGAGAGAAATTTTCTCACTTACAACAAACAATACATCATAGTATTTACCGGACTATTTACCCCACCATAACATAATTTTATTTGTTTCCCAGCTATTTTTGTTCAGTATGAGGAATAAACATCTCCAAGTGAAATGCTTCTTATTGCTTTTGGAGTTCTTTTGGAACTCTTCTTCAATACCTTGGAATCCCAATGTAATGAACCGCTTAATTTTTATACAGGAGTCGCTCCCTTCCTTTCTCTTCCTTTGGGAAGCCAAAGGTGATTGCCGCAGAATTACTGGCTGCTGACATCTAACATAGAAGCTGTTTCAGATAGAGCTTTACTCCGCTAGGAAGAGGGGATTTTTGTACCCTGGGTGCCAGAGGGTTTTCTTTTTTTGCAGAGAAGCTGCTTTCAGTAAGCAGCAAAGCGGTGATTGGTGGCTCACTGATTACGGCTTTGCCGCAAAAAAGAAAACCCTCAGGCACCCACGGTAATAGACAGGCCAATGAATTTCACGTATAGTTTTTCTCAATGAATATAAAATGTCCGCGCTTTGCTCGGCTTGCCCAGCTCGCCGACTAAGCTTGTTTAAAGATCGTTTCTTCTTTTTCCCTTTTCCTTTTCATTTATCTGCTGATTCAGTTTATGCACAGAATTGCAATACTTTTCCCGGGCCGGGAGCTTTCTTTTTTTGTCAGTATTGTCAGGAGGCTCGCTAAGGGGTTTCTAAGTTGTGTTTTTCATTGGTTGGTGGCAAGGCAACAACAACAACAATTTATTGGTATTCCCATATAAATGGTGTTACCTAAATACATAATCGTTAAATAAAAATTCAAAAACGAAACAAATTACAACAGCAACCAGAAAGAAAAATAAACATAGTTAGTTACGAGGCTGCGTTGGCAACCGCTTTGATGAGCGGCGCAAACTGAATTTCTTTCAAGGTTGAAAACTCAAGGTTTAATTTTGGGTGAATTACCGTAGTCTACTCAAATGAATTAAAAGGTCTCAGTGAGGCTAGCTAGTGTCACCCACGCTCTCCGTAAATGCTGGGAAATGCCTTTCCGTCAAACATAGGCCTTTCCGTCTAAAATAGGCTCTGCCAATGAAGTCATATACCGTAAGTCCTCGTCATCGTAATCCCCGGTAATGCTAGTGGCAGCTAGCAGCTGAGCGGCAGTGGCAAAAGGCGAGTATTCGGCGCTTTCAAATAACCGGAACCTGTGACTAAGGGATAGACTGCAAAACAGTAGTATTTTTTGCGAACGCGATAGACGGTCAATATTCGAACGAAAGGTCTGGAGCGAGTGTAAAAACGGCGAGGGAGAATGGGGAGAGACGCATTGCGACAGGGTTAGAGATGTGCTAGGCTACAGAACAAGGAAAAGAAAGGGCTGGATCAGCCCAGTGAGCTGGAAAAGACTTGGGGAAGGAGCGAGGCTAAAGCAAAAGTTAGTCAGGGTAAGGTTGGCAAGACTTAGGGTGAGGTTGCAGGAGGAATACAGGAAGAAAGATTCAGAAGTGAAGAGAAGTATGCGAAAGGACAAGAGAGATGGGACAACAACATAGCCCAAGAAGCAGAGGACGTACGCTGCAAAGCGCGGGCAAATGGAAGATGTGTACGAAGCCACAGGGAAGCTATGCAGCGAGTCCCCTGAGAGAATTGACATGGTAAGGAACAAGGCCGGCAAGCTGTTGACTTAAAAAGTGGAGGTACACCAGAGATGGAAAGAACACTTTGAGGAAGTGCTGCAGTCAACAGACCCAACCCAGAGCACGTGGCTGATGTAGATAGCAACACAGAGGTGATAGAAGAAATACCCTCAGGCCCTTTAACAGCTTTAACTAAAGCAGAGATCAGGAATCCTATCATCAGCATGAGCGCAGGCAAAGCACCTGGTGTGGACGGCATAGCAGTAGAGCTGGTCAAGGCTGACATGGCTGTTCCTGCGGATTGGAGAAAGGGTCTTAATTATCGTCAAGCTCGCCAAATAAGGAGATCTCATTAATTATGGAAACTGGCAGGAGATCACTTTGATGTCTGTTGTCGCAAAAGTGTTGGGCAAGGTGTTGATCAGAAGAATATCACATGGTGTTGATGAAAAGTTACAGAAGGAGCAAGCTGGTTTGAGGCAAGGAAGGAGCACGATAGTGAGAGCAGATCTTGGTCCTCAGGAACATTTTGGAGCAGACAATTGAATGGGATTCGAGCTTGAATGTATGTTTCGTTGACTATGAGAGGGCCTTCGATAGTGTTCAAAGGGAAACCTTGTGGATGATCGTGAAGAGTTATGGGATTCCACCAAAACTTGTTGAAATGGTCAAGGCAATGTACGACGGTAACCAATGTGCAGTAGCTGAAGGCGCAGGTCTAACTGGTTGGTACGATGTGAAGTCCGGCGTGAAGCAGGGCTGTAAC